TTTACCTTTTGTCTTGAGCCTCACTGGAGTTTCAGAATTCAAAATGTGCTAGCCATGATCGGAAGTGTGGCGTAGGGGCTTGCCCTTTATGTTTACAAGTAGTGAGTTTGGAGAAGGAATCCATCTAAAGGAATCTGAAATCATGATCATTAGTTTGTAAGTTAAGCAAGAAACTGACTCCCTATTATTGAGCAGTTTATAATAACTGTTCCTGTTCTCTCATGACATGTAAGTCTGTTTATGCAACCAGAATATAAACTCATCAAGGGCAAGAACTCAACTTCTGCTTTCAGAAATTTCCCACACTGCTTACTGGTAGTTTTTAACCTGTGAGAAACATATTTCTTTGATGTGCTGTGGACTTGTGGACTGAATTGTGCCCCCCCCCCCCATTTATATGTTGAAGCTCAAACCCTCTATGTGACTGTATTTGGTGATTGGGTTTTTAGGAGGCAAAATTTAAATGAGCTTATAAGGGCGTGGTCCTAACTCGTTAGGATTGATGGCCTTATAAAAAGAGGAATAGAGATTTTTCTCTCTCCACACACACACACTGAAGAAGGGCCATTTGCAAGCCAGGAGGAGACGTCTCACCAGAAACCACCCCTGGCACCTTGATCTTGGAATTTAGCCTCCAGAACTGTAAGAAATTTTGTGGTTTAAGCCACCTTGTCTGTGGTATTTTATGTCAGTCTGAACCAACTGATAACAGAATATCTGGCAAGATCTTTGGACTCTTTTGATAGGAAAAAAATCACATAAATGCATTTACATCGCACTTTGATAGAACATCTCATCCCACGGCCCACTCAGTCCTGTTTATGGACCATCTGGAACCCAGGGCTACGCTCAGGGCAGGCTTTGCTAAGCATCAGTGAGGCCTGGAGGACAAGAGGAGACCCGTGGCCTGAGATAGTGGCCCAGGGTTGGAGGAGACCCCTTTAGGGGACAATTTACAGTGACCTAATCTGGTTCAGCGAAAGGAAAAAGGCCCTGGGAAGGAGACTCTGGGTGCAGTCCTCGCAGCACCAAGTAAACTGACCCATGTTCTCTTGGCTGGCAGTCTTGGGGGTGGCTGGGGTCCTGGGCTGGCTTGATTAAAGCAGCCACAGAGTGCTGCCTGCTGATTTAGTTTGGGAGCATGGAGCCGAGTCCTGATGTAGCCTCTTTTTGCCGTGGCACAAGTTCTTTGGAAATCCCAACCGAAAGTCCTGCCCAGGGATGCCCCCATAGGCCCTACAAGCCTGGACCAGGAGTGCTCTGAGGAGATTCACCCTCCGCGGGCACGCACATGTCTGGTCAAGGTCCGCCGCAGGGGGTGTGGTGACTGCGTTGTTTTCTCTGAAGTTAAGGAAGGATTACCACAGGTAAGTTGAGGCCGCGCGCGCGGGTGTGTGTGTGTGTGTGTCTTGGTGGTAATTCGAATAATTAGGATTGGTTTGATTCATCTAAACTGAGAAGGTGTGGTCACTGCTATCTAGTTCTTCCCATGCTGGAGATTCAAAATGTATTAGAATGCACCATATGTTTAAAGGCCGTGTTTCTGTATCTGTTAATTTGCAGGGCTGAGAAGCGGGCCAGTGTGGATAGAAATACCTTCAACCCAGCAGTCAGAGCAGGCTGAGAAGAGAATGAAACTCTTCTTATGCTGGCCTAAGCCTGAACGAGTTCCAGTGCCTGGAACTGAATGGGTCACATAGAGGGGGGCACGAGGGATGGTTGGATTAAAATTAAAGAAGAACATAAGGAAAGTGCTGGAAGCAGTTCTGAAATGAGTATCTGGTCGCTCATTCTTCTGTGGCTACTCAGAGTTATTTAGACTCTGTCCTGAGATGGAGGGGATTGTTTTCCTTTTAAATGATGACCAGAGATGGTCAGCTTTCCATGGTTCCTGGCCTGTTTTCAGATGCATGTCACCTGTAGAAGAAAGAGCCAATAGCCCACAATCAGTTCTTTTATAAAAGTGAACCTCTTGGGGTGCCTGGGGGCTCGGTTGAGCATCCAACTCTTGATTTCGGCTTAGGTCATGATCTTGGGGTCATGGGATCCAGCCCTGTGTTGGACTCCCTGCTCAGTGGGGAGTTGGCTTCAAGATCCCCCACCCCTGCTCCCGCATGAGCGTGCATGCTCTCTCTCTCAAATAAATAAATCTTTAAAGAAAAGTGAACCTCTCATATATTTTCTCTTAAAAGGAAGCTTGAAAAGAACAGACAACTAACTGTTCGGCCTAAGGATCCTCTCAAAAAAAAAAAAAAAAATGTCCTGGGGCACCTGGGTGGCTCAGTCGTTAAGCTTCTGCCTTCGGCTCAGGTTATGATCCCAGGGTCCTGGGATTGAGCCCCACATCAAGCTCCTTGCTCAGCGGGAAGCCTGCTTCTCCCTCTCCCACTCCCACTTGTTCCCTCTCTCGCTGTGTCTCTGTCAAATATATAAATAAAATCTTTAAAAAAAAAATGTGCTTATGATTTTTGATTCTTTTGTTTTTAGATCATATGAAAGGATTAAGAGCCCCTACCTTGAAAAGAAGGTTGGAGTGCAGGTAATTTATTTTGCTACTTATCTGTGTGTGTGTGTTTTTTAAGTAAACATTTTAATTGAGCTATGACTTACACACGGGAAAGTACATACATCGTAACGGGACACAGTCAGATGAACTTTTACAGGCGAGCACATCTATGAAGCTTCCACTCAGACAGAGAAATAGAACAGGACCAGTGTCCCCGAACAGAGCCCCATCCCCATCCTTCTTCCCAGTCAGCGCTTATCTCCCAGAGGCAACCTGTATCCTGACTTTTTGTCGTCATGGTTTAGCTTTGGCTGGTTGTGAACTTTGTATAAGTAGAACCATACCGAATAGACCCTTCTATTTGTTTTCTTTCACTTAACATTCTGATTGTAACAGGACTCATCATGCTGTTGGGTGTAGCGGTAGTGTGTTCATTTTCATTTCTGTGTGTGTGTGTGTGTGTGTGTGTAGTTGTGAAGACAATTGTATGTTTTTGGATCTTTAAGCCAAACGATTGCATCCTTTTGCTACAGCCCGCTTTTGCCTAAATGTCCATTCCAAAATCTCAAGCTATGTATGAAAGGGCCCTGTTGACTCTCTAACTTCTGACTCAGTGGATGTCAGTCTTCTCTGCAAAGTGCTGTCACTAGTCTGTGTTCGTGATAAATGGGAGCCGGTATTCATTGAATCCTTGGGTACATGCCAGGCACTATGCACTGATGAGTTCCACAGTTTCTTTGAGTGCCTGTGACGAGTCAGGCACTGTCCTGGACGGTGAGGATATAATAGTGACAACACAGATGAAAATCCCTGTCTTCTCGGAGCAAACATCCTCATTAGATCTCTTGATAAGTTTTTGAATAGATACCGTTATTATTTCTATTTTGCAGATGAGGAAACTGAGGAACCAGAGAGGTTAAATTAGTTGCCCAAGGTCACACAGCCAGTAAGTGGCAGGACCAGGATTTCAACCAGGTCTGTCTGATTTTGGAGCCTGTATATTAGTTATCTGTTACTGCGTAACAAATCACCCCCAAACTTAGTGACTTAAATCCACTAATCGTGTGTTCACTTTCTCCGTTTCTGTGGGTCGGGAACGCTGACAGGGCACAGTGGGGGAGGGGGGTGTGTTGGTTTCTGCCTGGCTGGGTGTCCTCAGGGGCTGCCATTATCTGGAGGCCCATTCATTCAGTGTTTGACACCGAGGCTGAGAAGAATCAGGCAGCTGGGGCTTTTGGGCATCTCTGTCGCTACAAAACTCTTCGGCATGGTGACTTCAAGGTAGCTGAACTTCTGAAATGGAGACTCAAGGCTTAGAAAGTGTCTGTCCCCGGGGAGGGCTAGCAGATAGCCATGTTGCCCAGGAGACATAGCCTCCAAAGTCCTGTGACTTTCCTTCGCCACGTTCTGTTGGCAAAGGCAGTTACAAAGATGGGTTGAAGGGGAGGTTAAAATAGACCCCTTCTGTCAATGGAGGGATTTCCATATTTGTTTTGTAAACAGAGCGTGTGTGGTTGGGATATATATTAGTGTGGCCATCTTTAGAAAATATGGTCCACCACAGACTATATTCTTAACCTCTAAGCTTTGCTTTTGAATTTTTAAAGTTTATTATGAAATTGATTTTTCCTCACTAAAAAACAGAAGAGGTTTATATGAAATAAAACCCAGAAGTCTTCTGTTCCCCACTTCTTTCGTTCTTGAGAGATAGCTTCATTTGGTGGTATCTTTCCAGACATACCTGATCATGTGCGAACATGTATCTTTAAGAGTGATGGGGAACACCCTTTTGAGGAGGTCAGAGGGCACAGTATTTTCTCTCATCTGCTTCCCCTTTGTCCTTTTGCACCTTTTTTTTTTTTTTTTAAAGATTTTATTTTTAAGGGGGGACTCCTGGGTGGTGTAGTCTGTTAAGCGACTGGCTCTTAATTTCAGCTCAGGTCATGATCCCAGGGTCATGATCCCAGGGTTGTGGGATTGAGCCCCATGTGGGCTCTGTGCTCAGTGGGGAGTCTGCCTGGGATCCTCTGCCTCTCCCTCTGCTCCTCCTTGCTCACACGCTCTCCCCCTCTTCTCTCTCAAAGTAAATAAATAAATCTTTAAAAACATTTTTTATTTTTAAGTAATCTCTACACCAAATGTGGGGCTCTAACTTACAGCCCCAAGATCCAGAGTCGCACGCTCTACCGACTGAGCCAGCCAGGCACCCCCCTCTTTGCGGTCTTGATGGGACCTAGCTAGTCACAGGTGGTGGCATGTTGGGAACTGCTCTAACAGTTGTTCAGCCAGCTCAGTGTCTGAATGACTTGAGATAACTGATAAGTAATGAAATGTATTTTCTGGTCACCCAGTGGCTCGCTGTGGATTGTACTGACACAGCTTTTCTAAATTTCTTCCTTTCAGCTTGAAGGTTTGCTTATACTGTTCACCTGTTACTAAAGAGTTGTTGTTAACTAGCCCGAAGTACAAATTTTGGGAGAAACGAATCGTAAGTTTTATTTTTTGAATGACACTAATTCTTTTTCTCAAGGGGAAATATTTTTCGAGGTCGATTAAACAAAGCGTTGGAATTATTCAAAGCCCAGTTCCTCCTACGCTACATTTATCTACATTAGTTACAGTGTTGATGTTTAGTCTTTGTAATTCATCAGTTTCGAAGAGGCCAACATTTTATTGTTGCAGATTTGTTCTTCTCGTCCCTCGCAGTTTGATCTTGGGTCTTGGTTTTGTTGGTTTAATCTCATTAACTCTTGCTAAGTTGCATTTTAATACTTCAAAGTGTAAAATGTTTAACCCAATCGATAAATCCTTTTATTTAGGTCATGACATAGTTTAGGAAAAATGAACACATCTTATGGGTTATGATAAAGGGATAACAACTGGAATAAAGAGAGTGGACAGCTTTGAATCTGACAGAATAAAATGGAGCTGTCCAATGGAAAGCATAGTAAAGGGGAGAAACAAAAGAATGGCATATGGAAAATGTAAAGATGCCAGGAAAAGTCCTATTACAACAGTAATTACTATAAATATGGCTTTAATTCAACTCCTGCTCAAAATATAATTTTCTCAGTTTAGGTTAAAAAAAAAAAGTTCCACCAGTCTTAGTCTACAAGAGACTTAGATAAAACAAAAGGATAAATGCAGGTTGAAATGGAAATAAACAAAAAAAGGAAAAGATGTACTAAACAATTAGAAGCTAAAAATGCCAGAGTGGCAGTTTTTATGTCATACAAAATAGAATTGAAGGCAAAAGGAGATCTTGTTTCAAAGAGGATGTTATTTACTGTCCGAAGGAACCATGGATCCAGAAGATAGGAACGTAACATGCAATTGACAGAGTAGCTCAAACGGGATACAGTCATCACTGATCCCCCAGTGCTTGATCAGAGAAAGAGAACCACTGGCGGGGAATGCAGTTAGGGTGCACTCTGTGGATTAAACTTTAGGTCATCGTGGGAACTGGCAGAGAAGTCTGAGAAGTGTCAGAGTCTGTTTGATGTTTGCCTGCTACCAGCTTTCAGCTCTCACATCCTCTTTCTACTTCTGCCCCACATTTGGGCAAGCTGATTACAAAAAAAAAAAAGCCCTGGGGCACCTGGGTGGCTCAGTTGGTTGAGCGTCTGCCTTCGGCCCAGGTCATGATCCCAGGGTCCTGGGATTGCGTCCCGCATCGGGCTCCTTGCTCAGTGGGGAGCCTTCTTTTTCCTCTCCCTCTGACCCTCCTCCCCGCTTGTGCTCTCTCTCTCTCTTTCTCTGTCAAATAAATTTAAAAAATCTTATTAAAAAAAAAAAAAGCCTACCCCTCCCTTGGCCCTGACCTGGTTTGAACCACGCAAGCCCAGGCACCCCACCCCACAACCACAATAAAAACCAGGGCCAGTCACTGCCACCCTCTGTCGGCCGGAAGAGCCACTTCCTCCCAGCTGGGGCTCCGCTCTCTCCGCAGTCTCTTGCGCCGCAGTGTGGGGCATACAGTGCTGGCAGCCCCTGTCGGTGCACATGTGGCACATTCAGCCTGGGCTGGGGTCCATTCCCACTCCCCAGAGTGAGCCATCACCGAGGCTGCAACCTTGGCCTGCTCTTAGGCCTGAAGTTGCCGTGGACCCGCCGGCCAGCAGAGAGAGATGAGCTGAGCTGAGAGAGAAGCGGAGAAGGGTAGAGGTGGGCTGGAACCCACAAGGACAACCTGGGACCCCTGTCTGTGTCTCACTCCTCCCAGGCTGGCTAGTGCTGCAGCCCCCCGTTGCCACTGAGTTTCACACTCCTGGCCCAGGCCTTCGAGAAGCTGAAGGAGGAGACACAGCCGAAGGTGGGCTTGCTGCAGTCCTGCCCTGTCTGCGGGCTGAGCCAGCAGGTGCACGTCCATGAGCTGTTAGCACTTCTGGCGCCCGTGCGAGCATTACGACATGGCTACTGGTTCACTTTGGCCTTCCAGATCTCACACGGATGTTTCTTGGGGCCAGCGCCCACCTGGAGGTGTACATGGAAAGGACTTGTGGGACAGTTCCAGCTCAGCTAAGTTGATGGGGTACAAGGCCGCCTCACAGTCTAAGGGACACTAGGCAGCTCAGCAGTCGTAGCCGGAGCACTTTCCACACCACTCTCAGAAACTGAAAGAGGGGCCCGCCTGGGGGGCTCAGTCGGTTAAGCGTCTGCCTTCGGCTCAGGTCATGATCCCAGGGTCCTGGGATCGAGCCCTGCATTGGGCTCCCTGCTCAGTGGGGAGTCTGCTTCTACCTCTGCTGCTCCCCCTGCTTGTGCTCTCTCTCTCTCTCTCTCTGTCAAATAAAATCTTAAAAAAAAAAAAAGAAACTGAAAGAGGAAGGAGGCAGGAAATAAGATAGATTTGAAGGGCATGATTAATAAATGTGAGCTAACAGCAATCCAAGGCACCCAAAGGGAAAAGATCTTTGGTATACATGGAACATTTACAACAATTGACTATGCACTGTGGCACAAAAGAAGTAGGAAATCCTAGTGATCTTTTCTCTGAGTACAATGCAATGATGCTAGAAGTCACAAATAAAAGGAGAGCTAAAATCATCCACATATGTAGGAACTCAGTGCATATAATAACCATTAGGTTAAAGAGGAAGTTGTAAAGAAAAACATGCAGTACTTAGAACTGATGGACAGTGAGAACACGACACACCAAAATGTGTGTGACACAGCTAAATTAGCACTTGAAGGGAAATTGACAGCATTAAGTACATTTCTTCAAAAACAAAGACCAGAATTACATGGATTGAGTCTTAGTAAGAAGGAAAAGGAGCAACAAAGCAAATTTAAGGTTATGTGGAAGAAGGAATAATAAAGGTAAAAAGACAAGGTAGCGATACAGAGGCTGACAACTACCACAGAAAATAAAAGGGAAGATTAACAAAAGTAAAAGCTCATCTTTAGAGGGATAGAGAGAGATTTCTGCCAAGATTAGAAAAAGAAGATGCCGGACCTACTGCGGGAGGGTGAGGGACACCACGAATTCCGTCTGGAGGCACCTTTGAGCTCGCCAAGTAGACACCATGAGCAAAGCTCACCCTCCCGAGTTGAAAAAATTTATGGACAAGAAATTATCATTGAAATTAAATGGTGGCAGACATGACCAAGGAATATTGTGGGTGTTTGATCCATTTATGAATCTTGTGATAGATGAATGTGTGGAAATGGCAATGAACAATAGTAGGCAACAGAACAATACTGGAATGGTGGTAATACGAGGAAATAGTCTCATCATGTTAGAAGCCTTGGACCAAGTATAAACAATGGGTGTGTTCATGAAAAGAAATCAACTGCTTCCACATGTCCCCTCTCCATTGTACCTGTTTCACTCCAATATAAAAACCAGGTCGTGTGCATTTTCATATTGAACTTTTTTGTTAAGTGAACTTTTATAATAGTCAAAAAAAAGAAGATGCGTATAAAAATACAGAATGATAAAAGGAAAATAACTATTAATAGCAGTGCATTTATTGGAAAATTAATGATCGTATATTTGATAATTTAGTCGAAGTGGATAAATATCTGGATAAGTAGGAAGGTATCAAATTGAGGCAAGAAAAGTGGAAAACTTGAATAAGTAAACATTGAAGAAATTAAAACAACTTAACAAAGATCTCTTATTTTTTTTTTTTTAGATTTTTTTTTTTTAATTTATTTGAGAGAGAGAGAGAGAGAGAGCACAAGGGGGGGAGCGGGAGAGGGAGAAGCAGACTCCCCACCAAGCAGGGAGCCTGATGCGGGACTCGATCCCGGGACTCCAGGACCACGACCTGAGCCGAAGGCAGCCACCCAACCAACTGAGCCACCCAGGCGCCCCAACAAAGATCTCTTCTTCAATAAAGCCCCAGGTCCAGATGGTTTTATAGGTGCATTTTGCCAAATGTTCAAAGGACAAATAATCCCCATACTGGATGAGTTTTTGTGGGATATAGTAAAGAGATGAGCTGCTCAGCCTTGTTGGCAGAATTGATAATGATAGTGCAACAGGGAGAAAAGCCATTTCATGTATGACCACGTGAATATCCTGATTAAGGTGGTAGCTAACTGAATCTCACAGTAATAAATAAGTGCTTTGTGAATACAATACAATGTGTTTATTCCAGAATGCAAGGATTTTTTTTTTTTTTAAGATTTTATTTATTTGAGAGAGAGCATGAGCGGGGGAGAGAAGCAGACCCCCAATGAGCAGGGAGCTGGATGTGGGACCTGAGCCAAAGGCAGACGCTTAACCACACCGAGCCACCCAGGCGCCCCCAGAATGCAAGGATATTTTTAACACCCAAGTCTCAGTCACTGTAAGTTTTAGGATATCAGTGGACTGAAAAGATGAACAATTACGTTAATTTATTCATCAGCTACTTACTGAATGCCTCTTGTGTGAGTTGCTGTCGTAGTAAAATGGACCAGGCCACCTCGGAGCCCTCTGCCGCAGCCCGAATCTGTGAATTAGGCCAGCACCTCAGGGATGGATCCAGGCTGCATTTTGCAGCATGAAGCCTAAGCATGCAGAGCACATGGCCACATGTGTTACTGAGACTCAAGTTGAGAGGGGAGAGGGCAGTGGGAGGACAGGGATGGGGAGGTGAAGGGAGAAAAATTGAATTCATGGAAATAGAATTGCTGTGTCAAGGGATATGTAAGTTTAGGAGGCATTTAATCCATGTTGCCACGTCAGCCACAGGAAAGGCGATCCTTTAGCTCTATCATGTCTTCAAGCTGCTAAAATGTTCAGTATCGCGAAATCAGAAATTGTTACACAGTCTTAGTAACTTCTTCTAAGTCCCTTTTTTGTGTTTGAGATGGCAAAGGTTTGTAAATCCATGAAAAACTGAAAACACTTGGTATGATGTACATATGATCTCTTATTTTAATAGATATCCATTGAAATTGAAACTCCTACTCAGATACCTTTAGTCGATGAAGCGTCAGGCGAGGTAAGTAAAAATATAATTTTTAAAAATTATTGTTTAATAATATGATTGTTTTTCTCTGTTATTTTGAATGCTCATCTTACCATAAATGAAAGTTATAGTAATTGGGTGAGTTTGTAGGGAAAAAAAAATATTTGTGTTGTATTTCTTTTCTACATAGTCTACAAGGTAGACTTCTGTGTGAATTGCTCCTTTTTAGTATGTTACCTGCTAATGATGAGAACTCCAGGTATTGATATTATTACATAATGTCATTGTTACATTTATTATGTTTATTATAATATTCAGGATATAATGTGCTTAGTGCTTTTGTAGCAAATATATGTATTTGTGATTTTCTTTTTTTCTGAATTATTTCTTACTTAAGAAACAGTGTCCAAGTGGATCCAATATACTTTTTGTCCTTAAATTTAGAAGCAGGTACTTTTCTTTTGTGAATGTATTGGTTTAATAATCAAGATTATGGACCTTTCATTTTTTTTTACCTCAAATTCTTCCTAGGGCCAGGAAGTATTTTCCTATTTTATGGTAAATCTAGTTAATATTCGTTCCATGGCCTGGTTATAACCTGCTTTGTCGACACATTGAACTCTGAAGGGTGTCCGTTGTTTAACCAGGATCAGGCTGACTTTTCACATCTCCTCTCTGGAGAAGATCAGGTGTGTGAAGTCGTCCTCATTGAATTGTTCACCAAGGGAGGACTGCAGGGCCAGTTGAGGGCGGGTTAAAAAGGAGGGAAAAAGGATAGCCCGAAGGTCCCTAAATGCTGACCTCAGTTAGTGAATGCCAGATTCCTCTGATTGCCTCGCTGCCTTATGTTGGTGAAAGGTGTTGTCAAAACTGGGCTCCAGAGAGCAGGCAGCTCCTGTTGACCAGAGTCTGGCCATCCCACTCTGGTCCTTTGTTTATTCTCATGCACTGTGGCTCCATGCATTGTGTCTCCACTAACCACAGGACCCTTGCTCTAAGGGGGCCATCGGAATGAATGACATTAGACTTCCGGGAGGAATCGCCGTTATTGGGAGCGAGCGAGCGTGTCCAGAGCTCTGCCCTAGTAGGACAGTACATGTAGAATGGTGACCTGGGCCCAGACGACATCAGCCTTTTTTTTTTTTTTTTAGTTTAATAATAGCTTTATTGAGATATCATTCATATACCATACAGTTCACCCCATTTAAAATGCATGGTTCAGTGGCTTTTAGTATATTCACGGAGTTGTGTGTTCACCACCACAATCATTTTTCAAGTATTTTCATCACCCAAAAAGAAACCCTATACCCATTAGCAGTCATTCCCTACTTCTCCCTCCCCCAGCCCATGGCAACCACTACTCTAAGTCTGTAGGATTTGCCTGTTCTGGACATTTCGTATCAATGAAATCGTACTGATGTGGTCTTTTGTGACTCGCTTCTTTCACTTTGCATAATGGTTTCACGGTTTATCCATGTTGTGGTATGATGTCAGGATTTCATGTCTTGCCGTGGCCCGAATAACATTCCATTGTGTGGAGAGACCACATCCTGTTCGTTCGCTCATCAGCTGATCGACATTTTGGTTGTTTCTACTTGTTGGGTAGTAGGAGCAGTGCCGCTGTGGACATTCACGCCCAGGTTTTCGTGTGGATGCCCGTTTTCATTTCTCTCGTGTGTGTAGCTCGGAGTGGAGTTGCTGGGTTATACTCTCGCTGTGTTTGACTGTCGTTCTGTGGGTGAGGATTCCATGTGTCTCCAGGATTTGGCGTGTGAGGAAATGACATACCACATGCTGGAGAAATACCTGAATCTGTTCTATTGAGGGGAACTGGGTTCTGCTGTTAACTTCTATTATTATTATTTTTTCTTTATTTTCTTTTTAGAAGGAAGAGGTGGTTGTGACTCTCTTACCAGCTGGTCATTGTCCAGGATCAGTTATGTAAGGGGGCTCATCTATTTTGCCATTTTATTATGCATGGATATGTATTGTGTTTGTAGAAATAAATGTTTAGGGTCTAGAAAATAATATGTGTAGGGATATTACTTCTTTAATATGTAGATGGCAATTTCTTTAATCTTTGTTTCCAAATTGAACTTGGGGGACTGAGGTGAAGATCAAGTTAGAAATGTGGCTTTCTTATAATGGAAGCCTTCCATGGCCGTTTCTCCATTGGCTTTGCATTTTCTTCTCCCATGGATTTTTCTCTCCATGAGCAGGAGTGATCTGTAGTTGAGAGTGCTAACACATTTCGGGGGATGCCTACTGCAAAGGCAATAGTACATTCCATTATGTTATCTGCCTCCCCCCCACCCCCCGAAAAGGTGGCGGCTGAGTGCCTGGTAGGGTGTAGAGCTGTTAAAGTCCCATTAATACTGTATTGCAGGTGGCTATGTTCGGCAGGAAACATTTGCTGTGGATTTAATGTGTATTTGCTTTATGAGGGTGTTGTCACCAAGACATATTTCCTTCTCAGGTTTTTATTTCAGGGCAATAATGGAACAGTCTTGTACACGGGGGACTTCAGGTTGGCAAAGGGAGAAGCTTCCAGAATGGAGCTTCTGCACTCCGGGGGCAGGTATTGGACTTTATGTAATTCCCTTTTTTTTTTTTTGAGAGGGCGTGCATGAGCAGGGGGAGGGGCAGAGGGGGAGAAAGAGAGAATCCCAGCCAGACTCCACGCCCAGCACGGAGCCCGACGCGGGGCTCCATCTCATGACCCCGAGATCGTGACCTGAGAGGAAATCAGAAGTCAGATGCTTAACTGACTGAGCCACCCAGGCGCCCCAGACTTCATGTAATTCTTGGAGGACTGAATCATCTAAAGAGTTTTACTGCTCCTTTCCCCCCAAATACAAGCCTTTGTTTCAGGTAGAAGTCGAAGTTTATTATATTTGTGACAGTAAAGCAAAATTTTCTTCTTAAAATGGGGTGATGGTAACTTTCTGTATGTTGATTGGGGCAGTAGTTATGTGAACTTGTCAAAATTCACTGAACCATATTTACACATCTGTGTAATTTATTGTGTGGAAATCATTTCCCAACAAAATTGATTTCACAAAAAAATTCCAAATTCAATGGGACACCCTCTAATATTAGTGAGAATTTAAACTTCACATATGTTTTATTTCACATTAGATGGTTAACACCAATTGTTGTTTTTTTTTTTTCTAGAGTGAAAGACATCCAAAGTGTATACTTAGATACTACTTTCTGTGATCCAAAATTTTATCAAATTCCTAGTCGAGTAAGTCTCCCCGTAGAAGCAGGGTGGTAACCGGGGTGTGGTTGTATTTCTAGTAGGAAGTTTCTAGAATAACATGTCAGTTCATAATCGTCCCATAATTAATTGGCATTAGTACCTGTGACTGTTGGGAGTGGAAAGGGTGAGTGACGTTCTTAAAAGTGTTAAATGCCTTTTAAAACTCCTGACCAGGAGGAGTGTCTGAGTGGAGTAGTAGAGCTGGTTCGAAGCTGGATCACTCGGAGTCCATACCATGTTGTGTGGCTGAACTGCAAAGCAGCTTACGGGTATGAGTACCTATTCACCAATCTTAGTGAAGAATTTGGAGTCCAGGTATGGTGATGGCTCCTCCTTTTCTATTGCTCCTTCCATCCTCTCCTTTCCTCCCTCTTCCCGCCCCCCAAAAACCGACTGCAATAAGGAAGCAGCCTATGAAAGGGCATGTGTTGGGGGCCTGGGTGGCTCAATCGTTAACCGTCTGCCTTTGGCTCAGGTCATGGTGCCAGGTTCCTGGGATCGAGCCCCACGTCTGCTCCCTGCTCAGTGGGGAGTCTGCTTCTCCCTGTGCCTTCACCTCTCCCCCTGCTTGTGGTAGAGAATCAGACACATATGTTTACGTACATGTATGCATGTGTGTCCTGAGTTGCCCTGGGAAACCTATTTCTTTCTGTGGGTCCTGGTCCAGGTGTGTGAAAAGCACTGTCCTAGAGTATGGAAGCTTCAGATCAGGCTGGGAGGGAGTTTTATTTCACCTGTCCCTCCCTCGTGGCTCGGTGCTGGGCTCTCAGGCGGAGCCACGGAGCCCAGGGCATGAGTGTGGCCGCCGAGCCTGTGGCTTCTGCTCTTGTCCCCTGAGATAAGATGGGGTTCTGGTAATGACCCTGAATAAAACAAAGTGCTGGAGCAAGCTGGACATTTAAGTTCCATTCTGTTTTGTACCTTTTAACATAGGTCCCCCAGCCAATAAACTTGTGCCAAGAACTTAGTTCTACGCAGTGTCATTCAGTAAAATAAAAAAGATCTAGCTTTTCTGCATATGAAATTTTAAAAATGCCTCCCTCCCTCCCTTCATAAGTCTTGACTGCGTTGGTCCTTCTTTCCTTAATGTTTTTCTTCCGTATGTCCCTCTGTCAAAATACATTGGTATAAAGTTGTGAATTCTCCATTTTGAGAAGGATTTGCTCTCATTCTGAGATTGTCATTCCTGTTTTTTTGGTGTTAAAATTGCTTTTTTCCCCCCCCACGGCGCTCACCATAGCACATACCCTCCCCAATGTCCATCACCCAGCCACCCCATCCCTCCCACCCCGCACCACTCCAGCAACCCTCAGTTTGTTTCCTGAGATTAAGAATTCCTCAAATCAGTGAGATCATATGATACATGTTTTTCTCTGATTGACTTATTTTGCTCAGCATAATACCCTCTAGTTCCATACACTTCGTTGCAAATGGCAAGAGTTCATTCCTTTTGATGGCTGAGTAGTATTCCTTTGTGTATCTATATACCACCTCTTCTTTATCCATTCATCTGTCGATGGACATCTTGGCTCCTTCCACAGTTTGGCTATTGTGGACATTGCTGCTATAAACATCGGGGTGCACGTACCCCTTCGGATCCCTACATTTGTATCTTTGGGGTAAATACCCAGTAGTGCAATTGCTGGATCGTATGGTAGCTCTATTTTCAACTTTTTGAGGAACCTCCATACTGTTTTCCAGAGTG